GACTTTTTATCCAATTTGGCAGTCTGTGTCTTTTAATTGGGGCATTCAGCCCATTTACCTTTAAGGGTAATATTGTTATGTATGAACATGATCCTGCCATTTTGATGCTAGCTGGTTGTTTTGCCAATTAGTTGACACAGTTTCTTCATTGTGTCAATGGTCTTTACCATTTGGTATGTTTTTGGAGTGGCTGGTACTGGCTGTTCCTTTCTATGTTTAGTGCTTCTTTCAGGAGCTGTTGTAAGGCAGGCCTGGTGGTGACGCAATTGCTTGATCGATCACTCCTCAGCCAATGCAAAAGAAAGGAAGTCATAACAAACAGTCTCTCAGACCACAGTGCAATCAAATTAGAACTCAGGATTAAGAAACTAACTCGGAACCACACACTTCATGGAAACTGAACAACTGGCTCTTGAATGTTGACTGGATTAAAAAAAAATGAGGCCGGGCGCAGTGGCTCAAGCCTGTAATCCCAGCACTTTGGGAGGCCGAGGCGGGTGGATCACGAGGTCAACAGATCGAGACCATCTTGGTCAACATGGTGAAACCCCGTTTCTACTAAAATTACAAAAAATTATCTGGGCACAGTGGTGCATGCCTATAATCCCAGCTGCTCGGGAGGCTGAGGCAGGAGAATTGCCTGAACCCAGGAGGCGGAGAATGCGGTGAGCCAAGATCGTGCCATTGCACTCCAGCCTGGGTAACAAGAGCAAAACTCCGTCTCAAAAAAAAAATGAAATGAAGGCATAAATAAAGATGTTCTTTGAAACCAATGAGAATGAATACACAACATACCAGAATCTCTGAGACACTTTTTAAGCAGTGTCTAGAGGGAAATTTATAGTAATAAATGCCCATAGGAGAAGCAAAGAAAGATCTAAAATCTATTCCCTATCATCAAAATTGAAAGAGCCAGAGGAGCAAGATCAAAAAATCTCAAAAGCTAGTAGAAGACAAGAAATAACTAAGATCAGAGCAGAACTGAAGAAGACAGAAAAACACACACACAAAAAAACTTAAAAAAAAATCAATAAATCCAGGAGCTGTTTGTTTGAAAAGATCAACAAAATAGACCGCTAGCCAGATTAATAAAAAGAGAGAATAACCAAATAGATGCAATACAAAACAATAAAGGGGATATCACCACCGATTCCACAGAAATGCTAACTACCATCAGAGATTACTACAAACAACTCTATGCACATAAACCAGTAAACCTGGAAGAAATGGATAAATCCCTGGACATTTGCACCTTCCCAAGCCTAAACCAGGAAGAAGTCAAAAGCCTGAATAGACCAATAACAAGGTCTGAAGTTGAGGCAGCATTTAATAGCCTACCAACCAAAAAAAGCCCAGGTCCAGATGGGTTCACAGCTGAATTCTACCAGATGTACAAAGAGGAGCTGGTACCACTCCTTCTGAAACTATTCCAAACAATCCAAAAAGAGGGAATCCTTTCCAAATCATTTTATGACACCAACATTATCCTGATACCAAAACCCAGCAGAGACTCAACAGGAAAAGAAAACTTCAGGCCAATATCCATGATGAAAATAGATGCAAAAATCTTAAATAAAATACTGGCAAACTTATTGCAACAGCACATTGAAAAGCTTATCCACCATGATCAAGTAGGCTTCATCCTGGGGATGCAAGGCTTGTTCAACATACACAAGTCTATAAACGTAATTCACCACATAAACAGTACCAAAGACAAAAACCACATGATTATCTCAATAGATGCTGAGGCCTTCGACAAAATTCAACAGCCATTTATGCTAAAAACTCTCAAGAAACTAGGTATCGATGGAATGTATCTCAAAATAATAAAAGCTATTTAGAGCAAACCCACAGTCAGTATCATACTGAATGGACACAAACTGGAAGCATTCCCTTTGAAATCTGGCAGTAGACAAGGATGCCCTCTCTCATCACTCCTATTCAATATAGTATTAGAAGTTCTGGCCAGAGCAATCAGGGAAGAAAAAGAAATTAAGGGTATTCAATTAAGAAAGGAGGAAGCCAGATTGTCTCTATTTGCAGACGACATGATTGTATATTTAGAAAACCTCATCATCTCAACCCAAAATCTCCTTAAACTGATAAACAACTTCAGCAAAGTCTCAGGATACAAAATCAATGTGCAGAAATCACAAGCATTCCTATACATTGATAACAGACTAAAAGCCAAATCAAGAGCGAACTGCCATTCACAATTGCTACAAAGAGAATAAAATACCTAGGAATACAACTAATAACGGATGTAAAGGACCTCTTCAAGGAGAACTACAAACCACTGCTCAAGGAAATAAGAGAGGACACAAACAGATGGAAAAGCATTCCATGCTCATGGTTAGGAAGAATCAGCATTATAAAAATGGCTATACTGCCCAAAGTAATTATATATTCAATGCTATCCTCATCAAGCTACCTATGACCATCTTCACAGAACTGGAAAAAACACCTTCAACTTCATATGGAACCAAAAGAGAGCCCGCGTAGCCAAGACAATCCTAAGCAAAAAGAACAAAGCTGGAAGCATCACACTACCTGACTTCAAACTATACTACAAGGCTACAGTAATCAAAACAGCATGGTACTAGTACCAAAACAGAGATATAGATCAATGAAACAGAAGCAACCTCACACATCTACGACCATGTGATCTTTGACAAACCTGACAAAAACAAGCAATGGGGAAAGGATTCTCTGTTTAATAAATGGTGGTATGATAACTGGCTAGCCATGTGCAGAAAACAGAAACTGGACTCCTTCCTGACACCCTACACTAAAATTAACTCCAGATGGATTAAAGACTTACACATAAGACCTAACACCATAAAAATCCTAGAAGAAAATCCAGGAAAAACCATTCAGGACATAGGCATAGGCAAGGACTTCATGACTAAAACACCAAAAGCATTGGTAACAAAAGCCAAAATAGATAGATGGGATCTAATTAAACTCCAGAGCTTCTGTACAGCAAAAAAAAAAAAAAAAAAAAAAAAAAAAAAAAAAAAAATCAATAGAGTGAATAGAGTGAATCAGGAAACAACAAACTGGGAAAAAAATTTTTGCAATCTACCCATCTAACAAAGGGCTAATATCCAGAATCTACAAAGAACTAAAACAGATTTATGAGAAAAAAAAAAACCCATTCAAAAGTGGGTGAATGACATGGACACTTTTCAAAAGAAGACCAACAAACATATGAAAAAATGCTCATCATTACTGGTCATCAGAGAAATGCAAATCAAAACCATATTCAGACAGTGGAGGGTAGGGAGGTTGGGGAGGGATAACTGGGGGAGAAATGCCAGACATAGGTGACGGGGGATGGAGGCAGCAAACCACATTGCCACATATGTACCTATGCAACGATCCTGCACGATCTGCACATGTACCCAAGATCCTAAAGTGCAATTATATGTATATATGAAAAGAAAAGGCCATGAAAGCCATCATGCCAGAAACAATACATTCCTGTTTGAGAAAACTGTGTCCAGATGTTGTGCATATCACAGGATTTACGAAGGAGCCAATCTAGGAAATCAAGAAAGAGATTGTGAATTTAGCCAAAAAGGTTGGAGGTGAAGAGTTTCGGGATACGAACCTTGGAGAAATTTAAGTGCTTATGCACACCAAACCAGAAGAATTAACAGAAGACGACTTGAAGAAGATGAGTGCTTCCAAACCAGTGCCGTATCATGTGGAAGCAGACACAGAAGCAGCAGTGCTAGAAAACAGAGTGAGGTCAGACCGTCCGGCAGAAGGATTTTGAGTCCTCAAGACTGCTTTGGATTTCTTTTATGACCTGGGCCCTTCTATGTTCTAGGCACTGAAACTAAAGCAAATGGTGGAAGAATTGGTACCAAATAGAAACACTTCTTAAAAACATGAAAAAACAGAAAGGACAGAAATTGTGATGTATTTCTATAAAGTTGCACCACGTGTGCCTGCCTCTCCTGTCTCCTATTCCACCTGCACCTCTTCCACGTCTCCCACCCCTGTGATAGCAAGACCAACCTCTCCTCCTCTGATGGGGATGAGGACCTTTGTGATGACCCACTTCCACTTGATGAATAGTAAATATATTTTCTCTTTCCCATGATTTCCTTAATAACATATTCTTTTCTGTAGCTTACATTATAATAACACAGATTGTAACACATATAGCATACAAAGTATGTGCTGATTGACTGTATAAGTTATCAGCAAGGCTTCTGGCCAACAGGAGTCTATTAATAGTTTAAATTTTGGAGTAGTCAAAACTTATGAAATATGTCGAGTTTTGACTGTATAGGGAGCTAGCACCCCCAACTAACCTCCTTGTAACTGACCTCGTAATTACTAGAATAAGTACATACACAATTACAAACTTCCAGCAATGGGTACCCAATGCAATGGGTTAACGGAACTACAGCTCTTTCTCTTATGGTAGTTTAAGTTCAAATAAACAAAAAAACCCTCAAAGTTGGAAAAGGACCATTGAAGTCGTCCAGTGTTGGCTTAAACCAGGTATTCAATCGATGTTTGCTAAATTAAGTTGAAGGACGAATGTTAGGATCTCAGGCACTGATTTGTACAGCTGTAACCTGGCTGTAATCAATGGCGTATTGACTGTTGTACAGAAAATGCCTGTTGAGGCTGCTCATGAAAGCCAGAGATCAGAGGATCTGGGAGAACTGTGCATCTTTACTCCAGACCAGCTGTGGACATCGTCTCCCCATCCTGAAGACCTTACTAATGCCTTGATTTATTCTGGGAAAGTTCACAGACCTTGAGGCAGGGTTGGGAGAGGCCATAAATGAATGTTATAGTTTGGAGCCTCTTACAACGAGAAAATGTATTCCAGTAAGCAAAATGTCCTAGCATATTGGGATAAAATTGATGACAATATAATTTATCATCTGAAACAAGCACATATGAGTGTGAAGGGGGAGTTTAGTATTAATTATGCTAGGGAAACAGGCTGGAAGTGATACTGCCCTAGGAAAATTGATATGTATAAGACCTTAAGTGATGTTGGGTGTGTGTGCTGCTCTCTTACTGGCATATTGGAAGATATCAAACCCTTGGTGCCCTAGAAGCAATTAAATCATGGGCAACACAGTTGCTCCCCAGCACTCTCGTGCACTAACAGCACAGCTCCATTGGTGTAGGGCAGGCTGGAATTTCAGCAATAAGCACTTGGGAAAGGCAGGAGACTGGAACTGAATATACTGGCCCCATTTTAAAGCTGGTCCCTAGAGATAGCCAGATATCCAATTTTTAGTGTTCAAGGAGCCTGGAGAACTTGAGCTTGAGTCACATAAAAGCTGATATACTGATATAGTGAAGGGTTGAATTTGGCAAGCAGCAGTCCATTCTGTGGCAGCCATAGACTTCTATCTAGTTTCATTTATTCATTCAACAAACACATACTGATCCAAGGTACCAGGCCAGGAGATGAGGATACAATGGCAGCTTAGGGGCACCATAGTTCATAGGAATAGGGGGTCTAATCCCAGAAACTTGGGCTTCAAGGGCCAGTCGGGTAGTCAGGGCTCTGCAGCATTTGCTGAGGTTCGGCACTGGGCTGCAGATAAAGTAGAAAATTGGCAAAAACAAAAAGACAGGAACTCAGGCAAAACTGATTTACAAAAAAGCATGCACCTTGCGACAAAGCAAAAAAGGTTGTTGCTGGTGGTGGTCTTGTGAGCACCAGGCTCACTCCTGGCGCACCTGATGCTGGGCTTGGGTGCTCTGAGGACTCCCAGACCCCACCTGCCACTGCCTGTAAATGCTGATAATCTGCCAGCTGGGTTGAGCCTGAGGCTGACCCGCAGCAGGGCTGGTGAAGCCAGGCAGGCAGCTACTGCTGCAGGGCTGGGCTCTCAGGGAAGCCAAGCCCTGTCTGTGGCTAATGATAACGCAAGGGGAGCAGGAAGGGGACAGGCATGGCAACGCCAGCCACACCTTTTCCTTCATCCAACTATGGGCCAGCCCCATTCAGGCCAGACCTAGGACTTACTGGCTCCATCTAGCATTGCTAACCCTCAAAGACGCTGGCATCAGCTGGTCTTATCTGGCCTTCTGGGACTGGTGACATTTCCCTGAAGGACAGGACCACAGGGAGATTTTAAGACAAAATGCTTCCACTGAACTATTCAGTTTAGTAGTTTTACACACACAGAAAGAACCAGTTCTCTGCTGGGCTTACCTGGCTCCGGGATTCCAAGGATGCATAAAGACTCAATCTCCACCCTCAGGGCTCACAGGCTAGTGCAAACAGTAATTGCATTTAAATGGGGCAAGTAAAGGTTTGATTAGGTTAGAAGGCAGCACCTGACCCGGGTTAGATTGAAAGGGTCTAATATCACTTCTATTACTTTATTTTTAAGCAAAGAAGAGATGCCCTATTTGGAGAAAGTGATTCTTCTCTAAAGTAACATTCTTTAAAAGAAACAGGGTCTTGTTCTGTTGTCCAGATTGGAGTGCAGTGGCACAAACATAGCTCACTGTAACCTTGACCTCCTGGACTCAAGTGATCTTCCTGCCTCCACCTCGTAGAGCACTGGGATCACAGGCACGAACCCCCATGCCTGGCCCTAGAGTAACATTTCTAAATGCCTCTGAGTCTTCACCATTAATCCTTTCATGCTTCATTTATTTGTGACAACTGAGAACGTCATACCATTTGTATTCTACACCTTCTTATATCAGTCAGCATCTGTTGAATGCCTACGGGTGCCAGATGAGTTGCTTTTATAATACATATTAGTCTAACAACCACAGAGTCTGTGACATACAATAATAAGCATGTTTGTCACACACCGTCGGGATACCCTGGGGGCTTCGTGAGCCTGGCAGGGCTTGACCTGGAGGCTCTTCCTCAAGCAGTAGGTCTGCATGTGTGCCACTTGATCTGCTCCATGTCTCTTGCTCTCCTGGGCAAATGGGCTGGCCAGGGCATGTTCTTCTCTGGGTGACGATGGAGGTGGAAGACCACAAGCCCTGCTGCATGAACACACTGTCACATCTACTAATATTCCGCTGGTCCAAATAAGCCACATGGCGGAACCCGAGGTCAAATGGTGGGGAAGTTCCTCTGGTTTTCGGTGGGAGGAATTGCAAAGTTGCCTGACAGTGGTCCTGGATACGTCAAGGGGTGGAGAACTGGGGTTAAGGATTCAGCTTACCATACGACATACACTACATCTAACGCCCTCAACACTGCATGGGCTGCATAACATGACCCTATGACAGAGAGAAAGCTAAGACTCAGGGATGTCAAACCACTTACCAAGGTTGGAGAAAGAGCCAGAATCAAAACAAACACGCATCCTCCTTGCTCTCTTTCCTTCCAGTCTTCCAGGCTTCACGCTGATAGTGAAGGACTAGCCCAGAGGAGGGGCCTTAAGTACTTATTTCCTAAGAATGAGAAAAAGAGGATGCCTCTGCATGCCCTAGACAGGCCCATGGAAGAGGGCTGTGGGTCACAGACTCCTGCATAGAAAGCTGGGAGGGGGCTACGTAAAATCCAGGCTGCGTTCAGGGGCTGGGCCTTTTGTGTCCCTTCACTGACAGCACCTGAGCCTGGCAGTAAATTAGGGCCCGGCCTCCAAGTAGAGACAACGAACACCTGGTAATGTGCAGAACCATGTTTCAGCCAACAAGTGCCCTTCACCATCACTGACAACTGCTGTGGGCCGAAAGATGTTGTTACAGAGCCAACGGCCCACGAGGATGAACGTCACTGAGATGACAGAGGACGGTCTGTCACTGAGAAGGAGGGGTTGGTGGGAGGGTGGCCAGGGAAGACTGGAGAGGCTAAGCTCCGTCTCATTCCAGCCTCCTGAAGAGGCACCTGGCTCTGGCATTAGGCCTGAGGTTGAATTCTGGCTGTAGCCCTCAGGCTCCTCGTCTGTGAAGGGAGAGGAATGGTTTCCACTCTCCAGGGTCTCTGGGGTGTGGGAGGGAGGAGATGAGTCAGGGCCCAGCCAGATCTCTGTACCCTCCCAGCTGCTGGAGGGCTGTGGAGAATTCTACCTGACAAGGATGCTGGGAGGTCACACACCTGCCCCTGGGTGGCCAGTGATGGACTGGGGCAGGCATACAAAAGCACAGCCCCTTGTCTCAAGCAGGGAAAATTCTCTGCAGTGATTTTCCCTCCAGAGACCCTCTGAGCATAAGGCCACAGCTAGACTTTCCACTTTCCCCTCCTTCCCCACCTGACCTGTATTAATCAGGGTTTTCCAGGGTTTTCAGAAAATTGGCTTACATGTGTTGGAGGCTGGTAAGTCTAAGTCTGCAGGTGGTCCGGGAGGAGGTCAGCAGTGGTGCCTCTTTCTCCTCAGGCAAACCTTATTTTGCTCTGAAGGTCTTTCATTGACTGGATGATGTCCCATCCAGATTATCTGGAATAACGCTTCTTTAACGTCAGCTGGTTGTCGATGTTAACCACATCTGCAAAATACCTTCACAGCAACACCTAGATCCATGTCTAATGGAATTAGTGGGTACTAGAGCATGGCCAAGATGCACAGAATTCACCATACCCCACCCTTGTTATTCCCTCACAGGTTTTTCCTGAAGAGCTGCCCTCCTCATTAAATCACAGGCACCTGGATCCTCCCCTCAGGCGAATCCAATGGACTTTCACTCCTGCCAATGCTCAAAAGCACTCACCCTGATTCCTGCACCCCTCCCTCCTAGGGAACCCAGCCTGAGCCAAGGGGTAATGGAGGTCTCAAGGGGACCACTGGTCCTGTCTTAGGTATTAAATGATTGGAACAAACCAGTTGTCCCAGGTCCCAGAAGCAATCGTATTCTAATGAGGACTATTGGAAAGAAAAAGGATTCAGGACCTGAAGGAAGTTTTGTTACTGTCAAGTGGTCTCAGTCGACTCCAAGCGTTCTTGGATCTCATGCAAGAAAGAATTTGAGGCCAATCCATAAAGTGAAAGCAAGTTTATTAAAACACTAAAGGAATAAAAGAATGGATACTCCATAGGCAGAGCAGCCTCAAGGACTGCTGGTTGCCCACTTTTATGGTTATTTCTTGATGTTAAACAAAGGGTGGATTATTCATCCCTCCCCTTTTGGACCATATAGGGTAACTTCCTGATGTTGCCATGGCATTTGTAAACTATGGTGGCACTGGTGGGAGTGTAGCAGCGAAGATGACCAGAGGTCACTCTCGTCACTATCTTGGTGTTGGTGGGTTTTGGCTTCTTTACTGTGAACTGTTTTATCAGCGAAGTCTCTCTGACCTGTATCTGGTGCTGACCTCCCGTCTCATTTCTGTGACTTAGAATGCCTAATCGTCTGGGAATGCAAGCCCAGGACGTCTCAGTCTTATTTTACCCAGCCCCTATTCAGGATGGAGTTGCTTTGGTTCAAGCGACTCTGACAGTTCCTCGACGCCAGGGCTTGGCTCAGGAATTTCCCCTCTGCTGGGAGAGAAGTTGAAACCCAGGGTTCTTAGCCAGGAAGGGTGGCCATTGATTTGCTCCATGGAAAATGATAAGATGTTCATCTCTGACAATGCCCAGCTGAAAGCTCATGCCTGGAGAGACCATGTTGAGCCTGGCGAACACTGAAGCTCTGAGGAAGCAGGAAATAAAAAGCAAACAAAAGCCTTGAATTCTAGACAAGAGGTGCTGAGTAGAGATCAGGCCAGTCAGAAGGAAGCACACACATTTCTGGAGCAAGACCACATGGCCTGTGATGGAAAAAGACAGAGAGGGTCACTGAGTTCTCACCCCACCCAGGCCTCACACATCCCTCCCTCTCCCCACCTTTCCTTAAGGTGGCCCAAACTGATAGGGACAGGAGGCAGGGAAATTCTAGGCCCCAGCAAGGGCCCCACCCTCAAGCCGAAAAGCCTAATACCATGGCCCAAAGTGAGAACTTCCATCCCTGTTTCCCCACCCAAATGTTCCCTTTTCCAAAACAACCCATGGCCCAACCCGCCCGCTATCCTTTGCCTGTAAAAAGCCCAGAACTCATCCTGCAGAGAGAAGAAGCAGTTGGACATAGGGTACTTACTACAGTTGGATATTGGAGAAAAGCAGCTTGACTCCAGAGGCCCACTTGATGATGTAGCTTCAGAGAGTCCCCGGCTGGACTCCAGGGGAAGCTTACCTTCCCGCTCCATCTTCCTTTTAGGTCCCTTTCCCCCTGAGAGTCACTTCCATTGGCAATAAAATCCCCCATATTTACCATCTCCAATTCATTCCTGCAACCTGATTCCTTCTGGAAACAAGAATGGTAAACAAGGGGTAGATTATTCATCCTTGTGGACAAGGGTGGACAAGAACTCAGGTGTCACACGCGTGGTTGCAAAAGGTTGTCACACTGACCCTCCACTGAGTTGCTAACACTTAAGCCATCCGCAAATGGCAATGGTAACGGCACTGTAACACTCCTTCTGGGGCTTCAGGGGTTGCAGGCACCACCCTAAACACTGCCAGCACCCAAAAGCACTCACCCCGGTTCCTGCATCCACTCACCTGCACTTCCCCTCCTACAAGGGGTGGAATGCAGCAGAACCAAGTGAGTGGAGTTCAGCCCCACCAGCACCGAAGCAGCCAGCTAGTTCTAGTGCCTGTGCACTCCAGTTCCTGCCCATGAAAGGGTCAGGGAAATACCCTGCTTCAAAATAACTCTCGGTACCTTCCAGCCAAAAGAACCCACCAGAACAGCCCGGGTAATCCTCCTCCCTCCTTGTTTACTTGACCAATTCCTATTGGATCTCAGTGCAATCACAGCCTCCTGGGGGATGCTGGCCTGACCTCTTAGTCTTATCCAAGTGTGCTGATCATATATCCCCATCTTTCATCCTCTCCTGGGACCCTTGCGATATCTAATTTCTTCTTGGTCTTCCTGATTAATCTGAACAGACTATGGGTACCCTCCAGGACAGGGCCTCTCTTATCCATCCCTGGACCCAAAGAACAGTCAGTGGCACAGTCAGTGCTCAGTGAATGAACGGGGGCTCGGAATGCCCTGCTCACAGCACTCCTGTCTTGCGGAAGTGGCAGGTGCATGCCACCTTACCATTTGAAGCTGGTTGTCATAGCAGCATTTTGCAGACACATCTCCAGGGAAACATAAAGGAGAGGTTAACTCCAAAGAGGCCGCTCCAAGAGGGCTGTCGGGAGCAGGCAGCATCTCAGCGGGGCTTCATAGGATGAGTTGAGCAATAATGAGCACACGGGAAGGGCTTAGCCACGTGGGCCATGGGGCTAACCTGGGAACATAAGAGTTGGGAAGAACTGAGGTGAGGAGACAGGATCTGACCCAGAAGGAGGCTTCCAGGAGCCTGCCAACAGCAACTGCCCCATCTTTCCACCAGCCAAGCCTGGTGCAAAAGCAAAGTCCATCAATCAGCTGGTGTGAGTGGATGCTGAGGCCCAGCCTGGATTTACAGTGACACACATTGATTTTGGCTCTCGGAAGGCGTCAGCTCCCCTGTAAATTAGAAGATTTATCTGTAAGTGCTACAAAGATAAGTAGCTTTACGCAGAAATACCTTTTTTTTGTAAAAAACAAAACAAAACAAAAAAACTAAGAGAACTTTCCAAGGCAGAGACTTTAAGGAGCTCCTGCAAAATCTCTGAGGTCAGCCCTGAACACCATGTGGAGATGGTCAAGGATGCCTGCAAAATGCCCAGCCTTGGAACTCCCAGAACTTGGAAACACAATGTCTTCCCTGTCCTTCTTCTATCCTCATATAGGGAAGGGGTGTGCCATCAGTCATACGTGCCTTTCTGGGTTCTAAAGGACTCACTACCTCACTCATTCATCAAATATCACCTGAAGGTCTCTTATTCTGGTCTCAGGAACAGGGACTGCAAACAGATACAGAGGTGAACTAGAGAAAGTCCCTGCCCTCAAAGAGCTCACATGCCAGTGGAGGACACAGATAATCAATAAATGGGGTGATAGCGGGTATGATCCATGCTCTAAAGAAAGCAAATTGATCCATGTGAAAAGATATTACCTGGGCTGGGGCGGAGGCTACTTACATGGGTAGTCACGGTTACTGGCCCAGCCCGGAACCACTGAGATGGTGGGGGAAGCCAGACATGGGTCTTCTAGAAAGATTTTTCTCCACTGATAAAAAGAGATGGCAGGCAGAAAACATTCTCATTTTTGTCTTTGCTGAAAGCACGTGATGCCTCAATTGGGCATCCTGTCAAGGGTATTTATTAGTAGGTAACTGACCAAAATAACAAGCTAAAATGTCAAGGATGAAGAGTGAAGGAACCAAATTGGCTGATGCTGGGACCACTCTACCTCCAGGCTTCCCTCTTACACAAGAAAACAAACACTCTTTAGTGTGTAATGGGTTTTGAGGTGGGTTTTTTGCAGCCTAAGACCCTGGGCAATCCTGTTCAGATGTGTCCCCACGGCAGGCAGCCCACTCCTCGAGCCATTTCTAACCCTGATAGTCTCCATTAGGTGATGCCAAACGAGGTTGCTTCTGCCAGGGAGAACCAGGCAAAGGAGAAGCAAAGCTATTTCTGGTTCAAAGGAGACACTTGGATTTATCCAAAAGAGGTAACCCCTGGAGGCGAAAGGGGAAAGGAAGCAGTGGTGGGTGAGACTGGTATGGATAGATGGAAGGGGAAGAGAGTGCTGGGGCCCCTGCGAAACACACCTGCACTGGATGAGGACCCCTGGCAGGGCTACCCCTGCACGGAAGGTGGAGCAGTGGGCATGCCCATTGGTATCATCTGTCAGGATCACGGCAGGATACTGATGACCAGGTGACCTGAGGAGGGTGTAACATACAGGAATTATCAGCAAAAGGGACATAGAGTGTGGAGAAACCACAGGGAGAGTCGGCTGCACCAGAGCACAGTTACTACCCTGAAGCCCCACACAGCAAGAGACAGGGCCACTCCTGGCACTGAAGTGGAGAGGGCTATGCAGGGAGGGCTGCAGGCAGGAGCTAGGACTTTTGGTCAAGGGACAGCTCCAGCCCTCAATGATGCTACAGGGAGGCAGTGAGGGAGTCAACACCTCGATCTCTCCCTCTTCCTCCTCCCAATCTCCTGCTGTTGCTCCCCACTGGACAGAACTCCTGGGAGCAGAGCGCGAGGGCGCCAGGGGAGGCGGTTTGTATCTGCATACTTCCCTCTGGCTGCTGCAATGAGCAACCACAAACTTGGTGGCTTAAAACGACATGAATTTATTGTCTTACAGTTCTGACAGCAGGACGTAGATGTGAAAACAAGCGTCAGTGGCCTAAAATCAAAGTGCAGAAGGGCTGCATCTCTCTGGCAGCTCCAGAAGAGAATCTCTTCCCTTATTTACTCAGCTTCCAGAGGCCTCCACATTCACACGGCATTGCCCTGAGTCTGATACCTGCTGCCTTCCCCTTGCCATAAAGGACCCTTGTGTCTGCATTGAACTCATCCAGGTAATCCAAGGTAATCTCCCTCAAGGTCAGCTGATTTCCAACCTCAATGCCATCTGCAACCTTAATTCCCTTTTTCCATATACATAACACATTCACAGGAAAGAGGACATGGACATCTTTGTGGGGCCATTATTCTGCCTATCATAATGTAGTTCAGCCTCCTGGGCACACAGAAGAAAGTGGAGAAGGAGAGTAGTTCCGGTGGGAAAACCTCCTCTCTCAGCTGACACCCTAGGTAAGGGGTGTGGACAGGGCAGTCACTCAACCTCTCTGAGCCTCAGTTTTCCCAACTGTAAGAGAGGGATAATCATACCAACTCTTGGTTGTGCTGACGACGACAGAATCTGGGCACAGTGCTCGGCAGCTACGGTGTTCTCAGTAAATGTCACAGCACCGTACAGGTTAAACAAGAAGCATGGTACCAAGGGTGGGAGGTGTTTGCTGCCACATGCCTCTAGGGGAAGCTCAGAACTGACTGGGTACCATCAGCACCACGTGCAGATCGCCAGCCACCCTGTGGCTACAAGGTCATGAAGACCCTAAACACGAAGCCAACCTGGGGAAAAAGATAAATCCAAAGAGCAGAAAATGTACATGGAGGAGCTAGAATAAGTATACAAGACGCCTTAAACTGAAGAAAATAAAGCAAAGATACACTGTAAATTGACAAGTTGAAGAGCCCAATCCTTTACTCCAAGCAGGATGTGGCTTGAGAGGAAATCTAGAAAATACAGCTGTTACATATCGCTGCACACCTAACTCTAGTATGGTCCCATGTATTTTGATGGCATTTTAGTAGCTAAGTGCCCTTGGGTGTTTTCTCCAAGTAGAAGCCTGGAGAGGCTCAGCCATAAAATAGGGAAATGATACTAGGCCCCAGGAGAGTTTGAGATATGGTTTGCATGGAATGTAAATTAAACAGTGGCCAGGAAGGCACACCCCAGTTAGGAAGGTAAGGGAAGACCCCACAGAGAGGAGAGGACTTGATGGGTACCTGACAAGGAAAGTGGGATTTTGAAAGAAAGCAGTGAGAGAAATAGGGTTGTAAGTGAAGGGTCCACAGGTGCAAAGGTGCCGGACAGGCTGGGCTGCCATGGCCATCAGAACGTCCTTGTCACAGGAGGGTCTCAGCATGTTGAAGGCAAGAGGGAAGGCAGGTGCTTAGGAGACTGAGCCTTCTAATGGGAAACTCTCAGCTTCAGATCTGCCATTTACAGGAGTAGCTGGAAATGCCTGAGAACTTTCTGGAATGTTTTCTTAGAGTACAGCCTGCACATCAACCTGGTTGGGTTTGTGTGTGTGTTGTTGTTTTGGCAGTGAAAACAAACAAACAAAAAACTCAGCTCCCTTTCTCTGCTTTCTCCTTCCTGACAGCACATCAGGAGAGATGAAGGCTGCAAATCCGATCCCTGGCCAGAAGCTGTGGGTTCAGACGCTGTGTCCTGGGCTTCAGAAAGCCTCCACCTAGAGGTGGCCGGGGACCTGGGAGCTGCAGGGGCAGGAACACCAGATAGTGACAGGGCAGAACCCTTCCTCCAGGCACACAGAATAGCTAGGAACAAAGAGAAAAATCAGGAAAAGGAAGGAAGGGCTGTGAAAGAGGGCCAGGCATTTACACAAGAGCACCGAGTACTGCTGAGAGCCAGCCACAGGCTGAGCCCCTATCATCTCTGGAGACTATGAAAGCGAAGTGTGAGGATCTCAGCGCCACTCCTGTCCATGATCAGACGGAGCCTCGACCTTCACAGTACAGAAAAGAGTACAGAGCTGAAAGATGGCAAAAGGATGCTCAGCTCTGTGTGTGTGTTTTACAGCCGTCCATAAATAATTCATGCAGCAGCTAAATGACGAGTTGGAGCCCCTGGCTCCGGCACCTGCTCCCTGTCACAGACCCCTCTGGGGGACTGCCAGTCCCTCTCTCCGCCTGGAACCAGAGGCGCCTGCCCGCCTGCGTCATGCAGCGCCTGACATGCTCGTGACCAACGCTGACATACCCTCTCAGGTTTTTCCTTCCACCCACCCAGAATCAAATGAGCTACAATGTGGCAATTGACCTCCCTCCCCCTGTGCTCTCAGGACCCTGCCCTCAGATGACTAAGCCAGCTGGGCGGGCCTCTGGGACACAGACCTGAGTTCTGATTGGCCCTGCCTGTCCCACAGCAGCCTGTCAGCTGCAACCGTTTACCTCTTCCCCTGGGACCAGCTGTTAGTGACATCCCAGGTGCTGCCTGAAGCCTCGGGGCAGGCTCCAAAGGGGGATGATGAATGTGTATTATTTCCTCCCGCCTGCCCCCCAGCCCGACCCTCCACACAGTTTCTTCCAGTGAATCTCCGGGCAGAGTTTTCCATTCCTTGGGTGAAAGAGAGGGAGGGGACATCTGTCCCTGCTCCATCCACTTCTCTCTCAAGTTGGCACTGGCTTTCACAGGGGTGGCCCTTCAGTCCCCATGGGGGAGGGGGCAGAGATCCGGACTGTGGGGAGGAGAAATGGCGCAACCCCAAGGAAGCCTCTCTTCCCAGCCCGCACCCACCCCAAAGTGGGAATCGGAATGTCAGTGCAGCCACTAGTCATGCCAAGGCCACAGGCAGGGGTGGGAAACAGATCCGTCCCTGCAGATGTCCTAAGAGATCAGGGAAGATGGTTGACATCACACACTAGACCACAGAGCTTCGTACATTAATTCTAGTACCACCATTCTGTCTCCATTTACCTCCCTGTTCATTTGGTGGTGTTTTGTTTCATTCCACAGATACTTGTTGAAGACTATGGCAGGCACTATGCCAATATTCAGGATACAGCAGTGAGCAAATAAACTCCTTGCCCACTTAGAAATTATGTCCCACTGGGTGGGGGCAATTATGCAATTATACTAGAGAGAGAGAGAGAGAGAGGTAAAAGTGGAGGTAGATGCAGATATAGCTACTAGTCAACATTAAGCCTTGGGAAAATATGTCAGGCAGGGGGATGGGGAGTATTGGGGGGAGAGTGCTGCTGTTTAGCTGCTGGTGATCATGTAGCCTAGTTAACCAGGCCTGGGGCAATTAAGGGCAGGCACAGTGGCAGATAAGGAAGACTCTGAGGAACAGAGAGGGCTGGGAGGCTGGAGGAGAAGGTCGCAGGAGACAGGTCAGAGAGGTCCCGGGCCAGGTGAGGCAGGGAGGCTGGACACATAGGGACTTTGTGTCCCTGATGGAGAGAGGGAGACATTGGATGGTCTTGAGCAGAGAAGCCACCTGACCTGATCAGGCTTTCCCAGGACCCCCCTGGCTGCCGGATTGTGGATGACTGTAAGGGACAAAGGCAGAAACAAGGGAGCCAGCCAGGGGCTAACAGAATCCTCCAGGCAACGATGGCGCTCAGAGCTGGCTGACAGCTTGGAAGGTGTGAAGGGCGGCCTCCAGATGCTGCTCCAGGTGTGGGTGTGTGTTTGCCAAGGGATGGGATGTGGAGTGAATAAAGGCTCCTTCCTCAAGAGGACATGCCCTTCCTCTCAGTAGATTCCATGTCCACATTCTGGAGAAAGGGGTTGCCTGCTGCCCCACCACTTACTCCCACTGTGGAAAGTGAGGAAATCCCTGGGCCCTCATGCACTGGACAGGCTCTGACATGGGTGAGATGTTACTTCCACTATTCTCAAAGGGATATATATGTATAGAAGACAGGGAAGCTTTACTTAGCCCCCATGTACAGCACGAGGCCAAGCCCTTAGCATGCATGCCCTGTGTGAGTCCTCACCATCAACCTGTGAGCTGGAGCTCCCCAACCCCACTTGACAGGTGGGGGTGCACAGAAATCCTAGACAGCTCTGGTGGCTGGCAGACAACCCTGCAGAGTCCCTGTCCCCAGGAACTGGCAGGGATGAAGTCACTCCCCATACCTGGGTCATCTGACTCCAAACCATTTCCTTTTACCCCTAGAAAACTTCTGGTTTTCTCTCTCTTGGTCCATAGAAAGGCAACACCACTAGCCCGCAAACCTTTGGGCTCGACTCAACGCAAACCCCTCTGTGTTTCCTTCCTCATTTCCTCTTTCCTCCTCTCTGGGTTTTAAGTCTTAGAAATGAACCATTCATGAAAAAGAGCTGCATACACAAATCATATAGGTAATGTTAACCCCTTCTTTAAAATACATTTATAACAATAAATTGAAAATAAATCCACAAAAAAATGTAGACAGTAGACTATTCTAGAAGTATTGTTCCTTCCTGTATGTTGCAAATTACCTACAACCCATAGGAGCCATTATTGCCTGAGGTTTACAAAAATGGATTCTGGATGAGACAGCCTGGAATCACCCACTGCAGTTCATGATCTGTCCTGATCTGTGGCCACTCCTTGGCCTCTCTGGGACTCTCTCTCCTGTTCTATGAAGTAGGGATTCTATGCAGATAAAGTCAAGCCTCCCTCCTAGGGCTGCCACCGGGATATGAGGAGGAAGCACGGGTGAGCGCTTATCACATTCCGGCACATAGTTAGAGCTGAATGAATGACAGCCCTCACAATGAGCCAGTGTTGTTCTTACAGTCATGGGGTACAGAGCATTTTTAGAGGAATAATTAAAAAAACAATTCAAAAGCCTGGGTTGAGAGGAGGGGAATTAAAACTTGTTCTAATCTTCAAAGCGTGTGATTGGGAGGCTTCTGCATTTGGAACATTTCAAAGCTTCCTGGAATCTATCTTCATTTGGTGCCTGAGTGCTGGGGAGAGATGATAAACAGGCCTGCAGGAAGATAGGCAATTAGCAAGCCATGGCTGGGGGCTGCCCGGAGTCTGCGGTGCTCTTGCTCCCGTGTGTGTGTGTGTGTGTGTGTGTGTGTGTGTGTGTGTGGCTGTTTCTGGTATAGGTCTGTGTGTGCATGGGGGAGAATGTGGTCTACATGTGTGCTGTGTGACATGTGTGTGTGTGTGTGTGTGTGTGTGTGTTTTTTTTTGAGATGAAGTTTCACTCTTGTTGTCTAGGCTGGAGTGCAATGGTGCGATCTTGGCTCACCGCAACCTCCAACTCCCGGGTTCAAGCAATTCTCCTGCCTCAGCCTCCCGAATAGCTAGAATTACAGGCATGTACCACCACACCTAGCTAATTTTGTATTTTTAGTAAAGACAGGGTTTCTCCATGTTGGTCACGCTGGTCTTGAACTTCTGACCTCGTGATCCACCTGCCTCAGCCTCCCAAAGTGCTGGGATCACAGGCATGAGCCACTGTGCCCGGCTGACATGTGTGTTTTTTTGTTTGTGTAATATATCATGTGGTATATATGTGAGGTATATTATTGTAGTATGTGTGTATGTATGGAATGTGTGTTGTGTGTGTGGTGTTTGTGGTGACTGGAGTGAGTGTTTTGTGGTATGTGTGTAATGTATGGGGGCTTTTGTATGTGTGGTATTTTGTGTGGTGTTTCTGGTACAGGTCTACGTGTGGAGTGTGTTTTATGTGTGGTGTTTGTGGTGTGTGTAATATGAAAGAAGGTGGGGGTGTTTTGCAGTGAATCTGTGTGTGGTTTTTTCTGCTGTGTTTGCATGTGTGGTGTGGGAGGGTGGGGTGTTCTGTGGGTGTATGTGTATGATGTATGTGGTGTGTAATATTGTGGTGAATGTGGGAGTTGTATGTGTGTGCTGTGTATGTGGTTTCTGTGTTTTGTATGTATGGAATGTGTTTCATGTGTGGTGTATGGTGTCTCTGACATGGTATGTGTAGTGTGTGCAGTGTGGCATGTATGTGAAGTTGTACGTGTGATATATTGTTTGTGGTGTGTGTGTGAATGTGTTTTGTGTGTGGTGTATTACAATGTGTGGTATTTGTGGCATGTTGTGATGTGTGCACTGTGGTGTATGTGTGGAGTTGTAGGTGTGATGTGTGTGGTGTTTGTAGTATGTGTGTATGGAATGTGTTTTTTGTGTGTGGTGTATGGTGTTTCTGACGTGTGGTATGTTTGGTGTGTGGAATGTGTTTTGTGTGGGGGGGATGTGGTGTGTGATGTTTATGATGTGTGGTATGTGTGGTGTGTGCAGTATGCTGTGTGTGTGGAGTTATATGTGTGACATATTGTGTGTGGTGTTTATAGCACATGTGTATGTATGGAATGTGTTTCGTGTTTGTGGTATATGGTGTTTCTGATGTGTATGTGTGGTGTTTGTGTGTGTGGAGTTATATGTGTGACATATTATGTGTGGTGTTTACAGTATGTGTGTATGTATGGGATGTGTTTTGTGTGTGGAATATGGTGTTTCTGACGTGTAGGTGTGGTGTGTGCAGTGTGGTGTGTGTGTGTGTGTGGAGTTATATGTGTGATATATTGTGTGTGGTGTTTATAGTATGTGTGTATGTATGGGATGTGTTTTGTGTGTGTGGTACATGGTGTTTCTGACGTGTAGGTGTGGTGTGTGTGGAGTTATATGTGTGGCATATTGTGTGTGGTGTTTATAGTATGTGTGTATGTATGGAATGTGTTTCATGTGTGTGGTATATGGTGTTTCTGACATGTATGTGTGGTGTGTGTGGCGTTATATGTGTGATATATTGTGTGTTGTGTTTATAGTACATGTGTATGTATGGAACGTGCTTCGTGTGTGTGGTATGTGGTGTTTCTGATGTGTATGTGTCGTGTGTGGAATAAAGACATGGGTTTCCAGCCCTGGCCCAGGTGGCACTGGTGGTGCATGATCTGGTTCCCCTCCCGCATTCACTTGGGTGCTGCGCCACATGTGGGCTGGGCATTGGCAAACAAGATGTATGGCAGGCATGGGGGTCAGACCACAGCCACCTGATAACCCAGCCATGTCTGCAGTGGCTGCCCTGGGAACCACTTGGGCTGCCTCCAAGGGATGATGGCCAACTAGATGGCCTGCACTGACTGTGCGAAGGCTGGGCTGAGCTGGGCGGGCAATGACGGCCTTGTGCACAGATTGGTCCCCACAGCATCCACTACAGCCACTCGTCATTGCTCAGCTTGTCTTTCCACTGCATGCTCATGTGTCCACCCCCACCCTCAGTGCTCATCTGAACCACTGGCTTGTGCAGACTGGCTTATTCTTCCATCCTACACCAGAGAGGTCCAGGGCCCTGGCTTGGGCTCATTTGAGAGGTCTGGTCCCCAGTGCTGGCACATGAGAAGTGGTAGGGAAGAGCATGGAACCCAGACCCAGTTGCCTGGCAATGTGTCAGCACAAGGCATGTGCACAGCTGAGTTTCCTCCCCTGGGGACAGGTTTTATGAGGTCTGGAAGATACTGTGCACATCAAGTGCCAAGAAACATGCCTGGCACATGGAGAACAGTCAATAGATGTTAGCCCAGGAGTCAACAACCAAAACACAAAGGCGTTGAGTAAGGGAATGCCAAGTACTCATTCCTTCTGGCTCCCCAGCTGGTCATTTGGGGCTCCCCAATCTGGCATGGCTTCTAAACCCCATATCTGGGCATCGATCACTCTTGTGGCAGCTCTTGCTCAGCTCTTACTCAGGGGTCCCAGATGATCATGGAATGAGCATTTCCACCTCCCTCCAGGGGGACCACATGACCAGGGAGGGACTGAAGCTAAGGCAGGAGGCAAGCACTCTAGGGCTCTGTGACAAGAGCTGGCGCTGAGGGCAGATGCAGGACCAACAGGGGATCTTGACAGTCTCCCAGACTGATCTAGCAGCCTCTGTCACACTCACAGGCACGGGTAGGCTGTGGGAAGGCAGTGCGCTGACAGTGGAAAGCCATGTGACCACATGAATGGGAACAGAAGAGCAGGTGGCTCCTGCCCTGTTAGGGATGGTAAGGGCATCACTGCAAGAAGTCAAGACAGGCAGACAGAACCCAGATGTCCTGAGTTGAAGAGACAGAGGGGAGAGTACAGCAGAGTTTGCAGGACAGAGGACTGAAGAAGAGGAGGCTGCACAAAGCCGGAGGCCCAGAGATCTGCAGAGTCCCTGTGGGATGCCGAAGAATGGCCTCCAAAGATGGCTACATCCTCATCCTCAAAACATGGGAACAGGTTACTTTCCATAGCAAAAGCGAATTAAAGTTGCAGAGGGAATTAAGGTGGCTCATCAGATGACCCTGAAATAGGGGGAGGATCCTGGATTATTTGACCCCAGTTAGGTCAGAGAGGTGAAAGGAAGGAGAGAGATTCGAAGTGTGAGAGGTGCTCAGCCACCATGGCTGACTTGGGGAGGAGGAATGAAGGCAGCCTTGGGAGGCCTGCCATTTACAGCCAGCCAGAACATGGGGATCTCACAGGTCACTGAATTCTGCCAAGAACCTGAGAGAGCAGGATGTGGATCTCCCCCAGAGCCTGCAGAAGGCAACATAGCCTTTGGGCATCTTGATCTCAGCCCAGTGAGACCTCATCAGACTTCCGGCCTAGAGAACTGCAGGACAACAAATTTGTGTTGTATACTCTACAAAGCGTGTGGTAGTTTGTGATGGCAGCAATCTTCTATAGAAGATTAATAAAACACCCTGGAGTACTCACCCTGCAGAGTATCAATGAGCACATGCACTCAGCACCCTGGAGTACTCACCCTGCAGAGTATCAATGAGCACATGCACACAACACCCAGGAGTACTCGCCCAGCGGAGTATCAATGAGGACATGTACACAACACCCTGGATTACTCACCCTGTGGAGTATTAATTGGCACATTCACATAATCCCTTTGAGTACTTGCCCTGAAGAGTATTGATGAACACATGCACACAACACCCCAAGTACTTGCCCTGCAGACTATTGATGAACACATGCACTCAGCGCCCCGGAGTACTTGCCCTGCAGAGTATTGATGAGCACACGCACACAATACCCCGGAGTACTTGCCCTGCAGACTATTGATGAGCACACACACACAACACCCTGGAGTACTTGCCCTGCAGAGTACTGATGAATACACGCACAAAACACCCTGGAGTACTTTCCCTGCAGAGTACTGATGAGCACACACACACAACACCCCGGAATACTTGCCCTGCAGAGTACTGATGAACGCACACACACAACACCCCGGAGTACTTGCCCTGCAGAGTACTGATGAGCACACGCACACAACACCCTGGAGTACTTGCCCTGCAGAAAACTGATGAACACATGCACATGGGAAAGGGAGGGAAAGAACTGTCTGAAAGGACACAGTGCCTGCTGACAGCATGGGCCCCTACCTCAGGCACTGACTCTGGGTGCAGAAGAAAGCAAAGACCATTTCCTGACCTGGTTTGCTACTACATCATCAGTAGCCTGGGGCAAGACCCCATCCCCTGGCCTCCATTTCCTCATGTGGGAAGCATGGGCTTTGTCTGGGAGACTCCAAAGCCGGTTTCTCTCTGCAGATCATCAACACAGAGCGATGGTCTATTCCCAGATTGGGTTTGATGCCACTGTTCCCTGTGGTGGAGAACGGAACTCTGCATGCACAGAGCTCCTGGATTCTCTACCTCAATGCTCAAAAAGTCATTGACCCTAAGGCTCTGCTGCTGAATGGACATGGCACAACAAGGGGACTCAGTGTCTGGTGGCCACTACCCTCCACAGGCAAGGCCCTGCCTTGAGGAGAGGCATCATCATTTATAGGAGTTAAAAAGAAATGACCCAATGTATATCCAGCAATAGGGAGGGGTTAACTAATCTCCAAGGAGTCTGTGGAAGACCATGCAAGAGTTTAAAACAAAATGTGCACTGTAGAAGCTCTCCATTCTCCAAGATACATGGATGTCGAAAAGCAGGTTGCTGAGCAACACTCGGTGACAATGTTTATGTTTGACAAAGATGCAAAGATTATATGTGTGTATTGATATTTAATATATGTATACATAAAACATGTAGGCATAAAAATGCATCGAAAAGAGGTCCATTTTCCACACAGCTGCCAAGCATTCCTTTCAAAACATAAGTCAGCTCACACCACTCCTCCTCCCAACCCTGCACAGGTTCCCAGCTCACTGAGAACCAGACACAGTCTTGTCCATGGTCTGCAAGGTCTCTCTATGCTCTTGCCACTACTCTCCACCTGACTGTGCCGCCCACTGTCCCTCCCTCCCTCCGTGTGTGCAGCTACCTGCCTCCCTCTGCCTCAGGCCATGCGTGTCCCTGTCTCAGTGCCTGTACCTGGCGGCCCCTGGCCAGGTGTCTGCCCACGCCCTCACTCCAGGCAGGTGCGGCAGACCATTCTGTCTGAAATCACACTTCTTCCCCAGCAGCTTCTCTCTCTCACCTCACTTTACTTTTCAATAGAGCACAAAGCATCATTTAGTGATTTTTAATGTCATCTGCATGCTTGCTTTTAGTTTCAGTCTATAAACCCTTTGAGTTTTATAAAATGTCATGTCCCTAGGACACAGAGTAATGACAGCACAGAGTAGGTCATACATCAATATTTA